ATACATTTCTTCCACCCATTATTTATTTATTTATTTATTTATTTATTTATTTATTTATTTATTTATTTATTTATTTATTTATTTATTTATTTATTTAATATCCCGCCTGCCTGGTCGGTTAAGACCACTCTAGGCGGCTATTTTTAGAAATTGTCACTATGAAACACTCACACCTATTAAGATTTTTGCTGAAATGCTTTTTAAATATGTAGAAATCCTATCCCTTCTTAATTATACTGATGCTAATGCAAATCCTGTTTAAAATTGCTGAAATGTCTACACATGTAATTGGGAACTGGATAGCATCCAGTGAACTATTTTCTAGGTTAGATATAATTAATGTTCATTATAATTAATGTTCACTACTATTTTGTTTTGCAAACCATCTTATACATGTTTCTTATTTTTTAAACATCCTTAGCAATGAATCAAAATGAAAACAGCAGTGAAGATGTAGTAGAACAAGAAGATCAGAAGGATGTCCATGATACACAGGTAGAAAGATAATATATAATTGTTGATATTATTGAAGTTGAAATTTCTTTCCCTGACACAAGGTCTGTAGATAAGCTACAAATGGAGAGTTTAGCATGGATGGAAAACTTGGCTGATAGCTTGGCTAGAGTAACTTATCCACTAGTAACTTCAACTGTCATAATGCAGTCTGAATGAGGATATGTTTGGCACCAGGTAGGAAACTGCTTCCGGTGTGGAATATAACAACTTGGGTGTTGAATGGGGTCATCTGATAGCAAACATTACACCTATGCTGTAAAATCTCTATTGGCTGCCTGTTTTACAAAACCATGTACAAGATTTTATGATGAAGGTATAAAGATCTAGGAACAACCCTTTGAAATGCTTTTTCCCTTATTGGATGATTCTAAATGCAACTGAAAGTTTTACATTGAATAAGAATTCTGTATCGCTTTCTCAGTACAGGTATTACATTATTATAGGTAGATAAGAATATTTTGAAGTGCTTGTTTTAGGAGAAATGCTCACAAAAATCGACACTAGGTTTTCTGAAAACTGTTGCAAAGTGATGTTGGTGTGGCTAAATTAACTTAATATGGAAAAAAAAAGTTCATCCTTACAGCAACTTAGTAATGTTTCATTCAGAAGAAAAACAAATACATTACAACTGAGCTGCTGACATGACCCATGATTTCATTTCATTTCACGTCTATAAATTTTCCCATTAGGCTGGTTCTATTTTCTAACATAATTCATTTATAAGAATGTTCATTTCAAGGTTTTGTTGTTCAAGATTTAAAGACAAAAGAATTCATTAAGTATTCATCTGCTCCAATAAGCAGCATGTTAATAAGATTATATGGGTGGATTAGAGAAAACATCAGTAATTTAATTTTAGTGAATCCAGTCATTCAGTTTGTGGAAGCTACTTTGGAAATTTGTCAAAATTGCAATGCATGTATTAACTAGATGTTTGATTCCTTAGAAATTGTTTAGGATGTTAAAATGGAACAAAAGAGGCCAAGTCAAGACAGGAATATATATTGGCTTCCAGCTTTTCTCATTGGTAGCACTGATGAGTAGTATTTTTCCTGCAGATAAAACTATAAAATAAACATGGATGACTGTTGACAAAGTGCTAACTTACCAGTTACGTTTACAGTCATTTCGTAAGCCAGTCAGTTCTATTGACTTGTTAAGTATGGAGTGTTCTTTCGCTTACCTAGATTTTTGATCAGCTGCCAAAAATTTCAAATGATCCCTTTCCACTTGTCTGGCCTAATACAAATGAATGTCTTACCAAGGGGCCAAATGTATACTTGTTACCACTTGATAACATATCATCTGTGGGCCCATTGATAGAAAATAAAACACAAGTTTAATTGAAAGTCCAGATAGTAATGCCCACCTCCCCATTCTGTGGTCCTGAGATAAAAGCTAGAATACCTCAAGGGAAAATATTGCATAGTGATATTTTGAGCCAAATGTGATTTGTCCTCTCTTTCCCCAAGGACCTAATATTTCACCATGATGTCATTTCTGGTTTGTTAATTAATCACTGGTATGTCCTTTCTTTAGGGACACCATTCTAAGAAGTAGCTTTATGGTTAAAGAGTACATTGTCTACACCGTGGGTAATGTGATCACTGGGAAAAATGTCATTAGCAATTAATTGTTCCAAGTGTTTCTGTACAGATAGTGTTTTAGGACACTTCCATGCAATATACATAGCAGCCCTGTATAAACTGCTCATTCTCCAGATGCTGGTGGTTGGGAATCACTTTTCTCAGGAAAAAAAGTGTGTTAAAACCACCACAGTAACATAACTGGAGCTGAAATATTTGTTCTAGCCATTTAGAGTTCCTAGTGTCATTTTCTGGTGCTCTCTTTACATGTTTGGTTCTACACAGTAATGAAAACATATAGGAGTAAATTTTGATTGCACCTGCTGGTTCCATCCCAGAGTTCTGTGAGAGTGAGAAGAGACCTTGCAAACATGTTGTAATGTATGATTGAGAATCTTCTACTATCCAATATGGGGCTAGTAGAGTTATTTATTTATTTATTACTTTGATTTATATACTGCTCCCATTACTGTCACAATACTACTCTGGGTGAGTCACATTAAAATACGCAATCATAATATAATATAATACA